GGGAGAGAGAGAGAGAGAGAGAGAGAGAGAGAGAGAGAGAGAGAGAAAGAGAGAGGAGTTAGAATGTCACAACAGCAGTCAGTCGATGGATGGTCGATTTAAAGCTTTAAGGGATACAAGTGGTCAAAATACTTGATATCCCTTGGTTTTTTTCTTTCTTTCTTTCTTTCTTTCTTTCTTTCTTTCTTTCTTTCTTTCTTTCTTTCTTTAATTTCAAAGTTATTTCCAGACTTCAATAAATTATGTCTTCGACTTTCTATGGCTGTGATAAAACACTGTGACCAAAAGCAACTAGGGAAGCACAGGCCCTGTCTTTGAGGGTCTTGGACAGGAACACAGGGGCAGCAAAGGTGGAACGAGAGGACTGCCTACTCCTCCAGGTTTGCTCTGCTTTCAGCCACAGCTCAGGCACACTTTCCCAGGGGAGGCACCACTCACACCGAGCTGGGCCCTCCAACATCAATCAAGAAAATGTCCCCACAGGCTTGCCTACACACCAATCTGAAGGACACATTGTCTCAGTTGAGATTCTTTTTCCCCAATAACTCTAGCTTGTGTCCAGTTGACAAAAAAACAAACAATAAACAAACCAGGACAGCAGAAAGGCCACACTAAGTTTTTTCTGACAACAATAATGATTACTGAAGAAAAAATATTTAACTATTATATGGGACACTTTGACCTGAACATAAAGTTCCAGGTGAATGTACACATTGCTAAAGGGCATCACCTACACGTCAGAAAGCAGAATCGAGTCTAATATGTGATTCTTTTTTGGTGTGGATCTATTTCGAGATGGGATCTCATAATCCTCACAGGCTTGAAATTTGCTACACAGCAGAATATAAAGTCAAATTTCTGGTCCTCCTGCCTTTGTCTCCCTAACTGACTGACAGTTATGCACCACATCCAATTTATAGACAACTAAGGATGTTGCCCAAGGTTTCATATACTAGGCAAGAGCACAACCAACCAAGCCACACTCGCATACACATTATGTCATCCTTAACTGATAGAAGAGGAGGAGGAAGAGGAGGGGCAAGGACAATAACAGTAGCTACCATGCTGATTAATCACTTAGGTTTAGACAAGTGGGCAACACTGTGTTTAAAATGTACTATATCAGCCACTGCATATGGAAAGCCACGAGACCTCACCCATCTGGCTCCTGATTCCCAGGCAGAGAATAGAGTTGCTTTTTCTAGATAGAAGTGTGATGTGGGAGTCCCCTCTGTGTGCTGTAATTACCATTAATAAATAAAGAAACTGCTTTGGACCTATAGCAAGGCAGAACTTAGGTAGGCTGGGAAAGCTGAACTGAATGCTGGGAGAAGGCAGAGTGGAGTCAGGAGAAGCCATGGAGTCACCAGAGACAGATGCTGGGAATTTTACCCGGTAAGCCACAGCCTTGTAGCGATACACAGATTAATAGAAATGGGTTAAATTAATATGTAAGAGTTAGCCAATAAGAAACTAGAGCTAATGGGCCAAGCAGTGATTTAAATAATATAGTTTCTGTGTGATTATTTCAGAAGTCTGGGCAGCTGGGAAATGGACAAGTAGCTTCTTACTACACAACTATTTTGCACTGAGGAGAAAATTTTCACTTCTTTGTATTCTGTCTTGATAAAGACCTTTGTGCACAGCTAAAGGGAGGGCAAAAGGCCACCATTCTAAGAAAAAAAAAACTGTGCAGACTGTTTTTCAATACAGTGGAACTGAGTGTTCATTCAAAGGCAATGTTAGAAGATATTTTCTCATTAATTTCAGCCCATATGCTGCTAAGAGGTAAGAGGGAGATTATAATTTAATGTTCACAATGTATTGAGGGTATTCCTTTACCCATTTTTTACTGAGCACACACTACATACTGGGAATTGTATTGGTACATATTCAAATGGGTCACACAATGGAAATCCAGAAATAATTATAATTTAAAAATTAAGAATGGTACAGATCTAAGCACAAAACATTACAAATAATGAACAGAGATCAAATGAATATTACCGCGGAGCTATATACCGTGATCATAATGAATAAGGAACATAAATGGAAATAAAATATTGATAGAAATTTGACTTTCAAAATCATAAATAGGGGGCTGCCAATGTTCATTTGGTAGGGTGTATGGCTATGCACAAGTTCCTGACTTTACTCCCTCTGGGAAACAGGTAGAGTGCACCAAGCCTGTAATCCGGGCATCTACAGATTGGAGACAAGAGAATCAGGAACTCAAGGTCATCTTTAGCTACACAGTGAGTCTAGGAATAGACCAAATAAATAAATAATCAAGCAAAAGAAAACTGTAGGCAAGCAAATGAATTAATTCCTTAAATAAGCAGCAATCAATAATGAACAGACGGTCAATTTAAAGCTTCAAGTGATACAGTGGTCAAAATAACTTGCTTATCCTTGTAAGTATTTTTTTTAATTTTAAAGTTATTTGTAAACTTCAGTAAAATATTTGCAAAATTATTTCACATTATATCCTTCCCAAGGCAGGGAAGAGGGCGCCGTGTTCCACAGCCTGAATGAAATGATGGGCTCCTCGTAACTTTGTTTTGTCCTTGATGGTCAGGAGTTTCATTCATACCTGTTCTTCCAGTAATTCCTGCCACAGAATACTGATTTCCTGCAACCTGTTCCAACGTTCTTCCGTCCACCGGCATACCGCAGTCCAGCGCTCACCCAGTTTCTAGGGAAGGGAGAAGCCAGCCTCCATCAGAACAGCCGGGAGGCACAGTCATGGTTTCCCAAGAAAGCCAGGACTGCCACCGCTCCTTGTGATAAGGCACCAACTTAGGAAAAATACTTCTTATTCTTGGTTTTTGAAGACAGAGTTTCTCATTAGTAGCTATGAAAAATACTTTTAAGAATATATATGAGAACAAAAACTAGTTTCCATAGAATATAATTGTTTAAATTACTCAGAGCAGAGAAAAAAGCAAGTGGAATTCCTGTTCCTACTCCACTGGGGGTTTGTGTGGGAATGCAATGCATTTTCAAATTGGGTATATGGCTGAAGCTTATTTTTTTATTTTTATTTTATTTTTTTATTTGTTACACTTTGTGGAGCCCAATCCAGAGATCTGTATGTGCTCAGCAAGCATTCAACCACTGTGCTACAGCCGCAGTCAACATTTCTCGGGCTCTGTTCTCCTTCACAAATTCCTCAAGTGGCCTCACATGGGAAAGCCTGGGGACCACTGGAGTGAGTTCCTGGGCTTTCGGATCTTTTTAATACTCTGTACTAAGTGGCTGAATGATAGTCTCATGCCTTCACTGCAAGGGCTGGAATGAAGGCGGGAACACCTGGCCAAGCCGGTAACCCACATCACGTGGAGCCCCCCCCCCCAAATGGGAAGTACAACCAAAGGCGGGTACCATGGTTTGTGCCCTATCTCCACCCCTATGGCACCCTCAATTCAAACAGTTGTAATTCTCAAGGTCTCGAATGAATAGTATCAAGGCGGTGGAAGTTTAGCTTGAGGGCGGGCTCTGTTTGGGTTTTTGGTGGGGTTTTCTGCTTTGTTTTTATTTTAACTAGGTTAAACCAGGGCATGAAGGGTGGCCCCACCGTGATTAAATCCTAATGGTTTAGTAGATGAAGGGAGAGGCACCGCACAGACATACATATGCTCCTGCTCCATTCTGAAATAGCCAAAGAAGAACATGCGTCAGGCTGTCCGGACAGGCAGCCTCCAAAACTGGGAGCTAAGTAAACTTCTTTCCTTATAAAGTAGCCTGCTTCAAGAACTTCATTTACAGTAACAAAAAGATGATTGGCAGAGTCTACTTGTTTAGAGCAGGATGTGTAGGAGGAGGAAGTGGGTAGATCGTCTTTAGGGCCGTCCTGCTGGCCGGTGTCCTCACCTGTAACTGGTCTTCCAGGACAGCTGTGGCGCTCTCCCCACTGTTCTCATCAACAATTACCACCATGTGGGTTAAGGAGTTGACCTTCACCTGTTCAGCCTCAAGGTCATTTTGCAAGCTCTGGAAGAAGAAAAGAAGCTCAACTATGATTTCTGCTTTTCTTTCTTGCCAACGGTAGTTAAGGAAACCAATTGAGGCAGTGTATTGCCATTCCCAATCAGTACTCTAAGTGCTCTACTGAAGAAAGCCTGGACACACCCTTCCATTTCATTAAGAACCAGCGTCCGAAAGTTCAACATCAAAACTGGTCACAAGTGTGCAAATGTATGTTCCCTCTTCGGTCCTAATTCTGCCCAAAAACAAAAGAAGAGGAGTACAACAATAAGGGAAGCTTGTGTCTATTCTGGAAATAAAGACAAAAATATAACCAAAGGTGGTTATCCCAGCACTCAAGAGACAGAGGCAGAAGGATCTCTGTAAGTGCAAGGCCAGCTTGGTCTGCATAGAAAGTCCCAAGTCAGCTAGGGCTACATAACGAAACACTGTCTCCAAAAAAAAAAAAANAAAAAAAAAAAAAAAAAAAAAAAAAAAAAAAAAAAAAAAAGTACAACAAGCGAGTCCAAAAGTCCAGAGTTTGGAGATTAAGCATACAGAATCAGAGGTCATTTTCTCTAGCTTTATAAGGTGTGAGATGTGAGATGAGGAAAAGGCTATACGAATCATAGAAGTTGTTCTGATTAGCTTCAAGACAGCAACCGAACAAACATATGGACGTCTTCACTTTCCTCTTCCTCAGGAAAAGGACAGTCATTAGACATCTGTATAGAGTAATTTGTTTAGCACTGGCAACAGTGTTGTGAAATGCCTCTTGGGGTGTTTAACCCTAAAATCTTAACCAGCTATCCAGATGTTTTACTGATCAATAAAATTCATACAGGGAGAGTGTTTCTTTCTTCCTTTCCTTCCTTCCACTGGGAAAACTGAACCACTGGCTCTGGGACCAAGTTACACTGCCTGCTGTCTTTTGGTTCCTCACACACAGCCTCCACACCCTTCTGAGAAGAGGCAACAGCTTTCCTTGCAGGATTAGATCTAGATACATCTTCCAATGTATTTCTCTGCCCAGACTCTGCATTAATGACCACACACCCAGGTTCTCATGCACTTGTGAGTCCCAAATCACCCTTTCCACATGTGACAAGTGTCCTACACTTTCAGAAGAATGGCACACACATCTGTACAGAGTTGTCCCTTTCACACCTGGCTCTGAAATGCCACCTCCTCACAAACACCACTATATGCTCCTGAATAAAACACACACACATACATACATACATACACACACACACACACACACACACACACACACACATCCTAAATCTATGCTTAGAGAAGCCATCAGGCCCCAGGAAGCCTGAGTGCTGCCTTCATATGCAACGAGGTAGACAAGAAACAAGGGCAAATTTACTTTATGTTCTTCAAGCAGCTTTTGCAGGGACGGCAGGTCATCACCCAGTGGGATGCTTTCCATCTTCTGAATGCGTTCTTCCGTGAGGGTTAGCCAGCCCGAGAGCTGCTGCAGCTGCTTCTTCTGCAGTCCCATCAGCACATCGTGCAGCCTGGCCAGGGGGACAGAACATTATTGCCTCCACCTTGTTCCCTGGCAAAGGCACCAGGGCAGTGGGAGCAAGAAATATACACCTTTGTCTAACTAATTGTCCAAGCAGCAGAGAGTCCATCAATGTAGAAACTAAGGAGGAAAACCTTTATTATAGTCATAACTGGAGTCCATTAAATGCACTGCAAGAGCATAAATAACAGCTCCCTGTATTCATAACAGAATAATTGTTTCTACACTCAGGAATTCCTGCCTATTAAATTGGTGGAAACGGCAAAGGAATGCGAAACACATTGTGGAAAGTGAAGCTGACCATGGGATAAGATTGTGGCAGAACAATGAAGGGGAAGTTCACGTCACACAGCCCCGTGGTCACCTCCCAGCAACTCCTCGCTGATATTAATGCTACTACTGCACAGAAACGGTCACCTGTGGAGGTAAGTTCGAACCGCCAACTCGGGGCAGCCTAGAATCACCTGATGGGAAAGTCTCAATGAGGGGCTGTCTAGATGAAGTTGGCCTGTGGCTGCGTCTGTGGGGATTGAACTGATCACCTTAGCTGATGTGGGAAGGCCTGTCTGAAAGCGGGCTTGCGGCCCTGGCCTGTGGAAGACTAAAGAAAGCCGGCTGAGCACTAAACACGGGTGCCGTCATTCCTGTTGCTCCCGACTGTGGAAATGACGTGAATACTTAGTGCAAGCTCTTACCCCTGTGATGTCCCCAAACTAATGAGAGTGTACCCTGGAATTGTCGCTAAGATAAGCCCTTCCTCCCCACGATATTTTATCACCATAACAAAAATCAAACTGTGATATCATCCACGCAAAATACATTCTCCCTTCTCACCACCACCTCCCACATTCCAGCTTTCTCCTATGTCCTGACTACCATGTCATGGAGGACACAGAAGTCATGAACATTCCAGGGACAGGGCCCATAGAAAGGGGTAAGGCCATTGCAAGGCCTGCTCTGTCCTGACCGCTTTCACAAGACCCACAGACGGGCCCTGAGCTTAACTGTGCAGTGCGGTCACAGAGTCGGGTTCATGTCCCTTGAGCCCCACTCACCGCGACTGCCTCCCCATGCTCTCCACCCGGAGGGCCTCCCATCTCGCGTTCAGCAAGGTCATCTGTTCCTGGATCTCAAACTCCTCCTCGTCCGACAAAGTCCCTTGGGTCATCAGTTGGTTGCCAGCCTGCAGGACACTGCCCACGCTGCTCTGGTGTGCTGTCAGCTCCATCATAAAAGTCTAGAAAGGAACACGGTGGGCAGTGGTGAGTCACTTGTCGCAAAAATGTAAAAAATAAACAGCGCATAACCTCGGTATCAGTGCCATAGAGAAAGCAACCAAGACAAAGGAGCCTGATGGAGAGTGCTAAGCTCTGAAAATAAGAAGTCAGCATCAACTAGAACTCAGAAGAAAGCTAGATCAAAGAAAACAATGTTGCAGACAATGCTTGTTTTTAAAACTTTTACATTTGTTTATTTATTTCTGTGAGCTCCCGCCTGAGCGAGAGCGCATGCGCTTGGATGGGAGGGGGCAGATCACAAGACAACTTGTGAGTGGTGGTTCTTTCTCTGCAACAAGTGAGTTTCAGGAATGAAACTTGGGTCATCAGACTTACCATCCAAAGACTATCAGGTAAGTCATCTCTTTTAAATAAAAGCTGATTATGTTGCTAATATATCATAAAGGTGGGATTAGCCATACATATAAAAACAATAATCAAAACACCACACCCACATACAAGATAAACTTCTTATGGAATATTGCCATTTCTAGTCATTTCAATCCCAAATGCCAAATAACATCACACACAAACATACATACATACATACACAACAGATAAAACAAACACAAAAACCTGCTTAACCAAAAAGAATTCCCCATACAGTGAAAATCATTATTGTATCTCAAAATAGCAAATAGCTCCCCTTGCACAAAACTGTTCAGGAGCACTGGATATAACAGTGGATAAATCATACAATAAATGAAAATAATGGCCTCTCCGGGAGCATCAGAAACCTAATGATTTGGGATACCAGTTGGTCATTTTGATTTTCAGCTACAGCTAAACATTTCAAAGAGGAACATCGATATGCACTGATATCCATCAGCAGTTCTAAAAAACCTAAGATGGAAGTCTGGAATCTGACTCCCATGAACTGCCCCTCATCCACTCCGGTTTCCTAGCCAAGCCCATTTAAAGAGCACAGGTACCACACTGTGACCTTTTTTTTTTTATAGAGCAGAACTCAAGAAACAGCAAGCTGATCATGAAGTCACCCTACCCACACTGAAGTCGGCACAACCCCCTCCGCCCCCCCCCCCGACAGATCTGGCGCTCCTCTACAGATATTTACTTCATGGGTAGCAAACTGCTCTTTGACTTCTTCGACATCATCAGAAATGTCATCTTGCTCCTGGAACGTGTCCTCCGCAGACAGCAGCCACGTCAGCACTTCCTCTAGAGCTAGCTGGTAGCTGTCCAAATCCATGTCCACCTCGGTGACAGTGCTGGGGGTCTCAGCTCGGGGATTCTGGCCTTCCTCGGCCAGCGCTGTGCTCTGTGGAAACAAACCCACAGCAATCATGAAGATACAGGTGTTCACCGCAATCACACTGTCTGGAAAAAAAACCAAGCAGGGACCAGAGTCTCAGGAGACAATACAGCTCTCAGGAGCTGAGCAAGAAAAGCCATGAATTCATCAGAGGACAGTTATTTGGCGCACTAAGACATCGAGAAACACAAAATAGAGTATACACATGAGTTCCACATTTGAGGAAATTCTAACATAGAGACAGGGAGAGAAAAATATCCCACATGAGTCATGGCTGGACGAAAATAAATGGCTCTCCAGGAAGCTGGAAATGCCAGTGGTCCCATAGAGGGACGCTAGTTGACTTCATGAAATAGAGAACATTGATGGAGCACAGAAAGCATGCTGGCTTTTGGACAATGGCTACAATTTACAGAAAAAGCTGGCCAGGAACTCTGCTTTGACCCCTATTAAAATTCCTTCAGGACCCCACATTTTAGTATTGTATGTTAAACAGTGAACAACAATGCACAGACAACCTATGGTACTGACAGGAGTTTGTGTTTCATTTTTTTGGTCCTCTACTTTGGGGTTTTCGGTTTGGGGGTTAAGGCTTGTAGAAGAAATTTCTGCCCATCTCTTTCGAAACGAGTTTCTCATTAAGGACTGTGTGATCTGGTCATCAAGCCTACGGCCCCTCTTGCTCTTCGGTTCCCCTTCAAAGCCAAACTTATTTAACACTTGTGAACAGACCATCCCATGGTTCAATACTCTAGCACATTGTTAAATAAAATCTTCTGCTCGTACATGAACGAAGAGAGCGGTACTGACCATGCTCACACACATAACATACATGAACGAAGAGAGCGGTACTGACCATGCTCACACACATAACACACATGAATGAAGAGAGCGGTACTGACCATGCTCACACACATAACACACATGAACGAAGAGAGCGGTACTGACCATGCTCACACACATAACATACATGAATGAAGAGAACGGTACTGAGCCTTGCTCACACACATAACCACCAGTGTTTATTAACTTTCTGTTTCAACACCATTTCAACATTTGCCCCCAGACGACTGAAAAGTTGGCAAATCCATTTTTAGCCTTACTTTTAGAGTGACCATACAATTAACCAATTCACATGTCTCTCATGACAGCTATACCAGAACAACACACACCAACCAGGAACAAGAGGAGACTGCCATCACGTGTTTCTTCCAGAAGCTTCTCAGTGGTCTCCTCTGGAGCTGACCCCTCCTGACTCCTCCAGCTCTCCTCCCCAGAAGCAGAACACTGGTTCCCTCCCAGTTCAGTGGTCCTGCCCATCTGTAAGTGGTGGACCTCCTGAAGCTTCTTTTTCTTTATATACTTTGACTGAGTGATATCACTTATTTCTATTGGTTTTAAAAAAAAAAATCCATATCCTGTAGATACTCTGTTTCAGATAAAACTCTTTCTACCTGTCAGCAGCTCTGACACCCCCAGTGTCTAGAAGATACATATCCACAGTTAAACAGTCCACTGTTTTACCCCCACCAGGCTGCATGCACCCAAGAACGCCAGCCAGAAAGCTGGGTGACAGATTTGGTTTCTCTCTCTCTCTCTCTCTCTCTCTCTCTCTCTCTCTCTCTCTCTCTCTCTCTCCCTCCCTCCCTCCCTCCCTCCCTCCCTCCCTCCCCCCCCCCCCTTCATTCATCACCCATGTTTAATCTGTTAGTCCTACCTTCAAAGTTCAACTCAAACCCATGCAGCTCTTCCACGTCTACAGCCATGTGTGTGTGTCTCCTCTGGGTGACAATGGCTTGCTAACTTTTGGCACCCACAGTCCTACCTCCCAATCCAGACCGCAGAGAGAATGATCCCTCTCATGTGGTCACACCCACAGACCGCCAGGCCTGAAATCCTCCACTGTCCTCTCAAAGATCTTAAGTCACAATTTAAAATTCTTCACATAGTTCACCGAAATACTGAGATGGCAAGATTTGGAGAAAGGCAGTGTGGGCACTTGGGGATGGATCATGATGGATTAAAGAGAGAAGACTCCCCTTAATGGTTCTGTTTAAACTGAGGAACTAAGGAACTTCATACATGGAATTCAACATACATAAGAAGAAAAAAGAAAAGTCCACTCTGGCTGCAAATTATAGCATAAGGAGTATTAAATTAACATTAAAGCTTGGGGTTGGAGCACAAAATAAGTTGTTTTAGAGAAATCAAATGAATATGTGCAACTGAGTTACAGGAGTTAAGTGAACCAGTCATTGTAAGTCAAACTGACTAAGAGACAAATGACGCCAAGACATAGAAGGGAATATAAGCTAAGCTCTCACTGTAAAATCCTGAAATCATAGCGCTAAGATTTTTCTAAAAGTGATTTAGGAGCAAATGTCTAGAGAATGATAAAAAGCATGCAAAACTAGGAATGCTGGTAATGAAGGGTCCTCTGTGTAGGTAGCAGCATCCATGGCCAGGGGATGGGGTGGAGAGGGGAGCGGTAGTGGTGGGGATGGGGAGAAGGCAAGCTCAACATGCAAATACTCAGTGGCCATTGATTTGAAAACAGATTTTCAACTGGCTGATTTTTTAAAGAGATGCAGGAATTACCTACAGACAACCTAATGCTACTCAGCGTGTTGGCAGAAAGTAGAGCCAGAGAGGGGGCCGGCTGTCAGTGTTTCTCAGAGAACAGCAGACAGCAAGACGAGTCAACAGGGAGATAGTTAAGATTTGATCCCATTCGGTTTCCTCAGTTAATGCAATTGCCTCTAAGGTAGCAATAAAATACACGTGGAGAGGAAAGAGTTAACACGCTTATCTGGAGACAAACAGAAAATGGTTCCTAGAGTTCTTACCCTGTCACCTTGCACCCTAAATAGAAGTGATTGTTTTATCCAAATACCATAAAATAAACACCTCCCCACCCCGTGTCTCATTTAATATTATTGTGTGGGTGGGTGCACGTATATGGAGGTTAGTGAACACCTTTATAACACTGATTTTCTCCTTCTACCTTTATGTGAGTTCCGGAGACCTAACTCAGACCCCTCACCCTTCGGAACAAGCACTTTTACCCACTAAGCCATCTTGGCGGCCCTCCCTTTGTGAAAAAGAGAACAGCATCAACACTAAGAATTGAAATGTCTTATTTTTGTAACAAAATCAGTCCAAAAAAGAAATGACAGAAGAAGCAAAACAGAGGAAAACCCAGCGCCATCTCCGTGAGCCAGTAAGGTGTATCATCAAAGCAGAATGTGTCCACATGACCAAAGGCCAGAGTGAATCACTTGCAGAACTTAAGGGTTTCTCTTCTGCATTACTTCATAGTCAAAACTAAAAAGAAATCTGGATTCACAATCAGGCCCTGTCTCTGCCCTTTTCCTCCTCAGTAATTTTTTTTCCTTCTTCTAAAAATTATGTTATTTTTGAAATGGATAAAAATAAAAATGATTAGTACATGCCATCTGAAATCTAAAAGAACAAGCAAATTCTCTACATCTCACAGAAGTGTGGGAGAAAGATACTATGTTTAAGATTATTATCATAATCAAAGAATTAAATAACTTTTTTTAAAAAAAAAGAAATTTGCTAAATGAGAATGTCAAAACAAATCCAGAAGGAAACGCTATAATAATGATAGGTAGGCGGGCTTACTGAGTGCTCATTCAGTGCACTGTCTTTACCAACAGGGTGATATTAACCACAGTGGTTGAGAGGCCAAGACACTCACCCCATACAAGTACTAGGGAATGAAATTTAAGCTTGAAGGCACACACATTCTGTCTCCTCCAAAATGTACTTCTCACAAATTTGAAATCCCCACCTCCCTTTCTCATTGTGTGCGGAGACTGCTGTGGTGTGGGAATGTGTGTTTGCACAGAGGTTGATACCAGGTATAATCTTCAGGTGTTCTCCTCTTATATCATCGAGACCACATCTCTCGTTGAACCTGGGGCTCATGGATTGAGCTAGGCTGACTGGCTAAGAAGCTCCAGAGACCCACGGGTACCTACCTCCCAGCCCTAGCATCACAGGGATACCAGGGGACCCAATGATTGATTATGTGCATGAGGGGCATCCTAACTCAGGCCCTCGTGCGTGAGCAGCAAACACTTTACTGACTGAGCTGTGCCCCTAGCTCTTAGGTGCGTGAGCAGCAAACACTTTACTGACTGAGCCGTGCCCCTAGCTCTTAGGTGCACCTCAGAACTAAATGTTAGACTGTGTGATTTCAAAATCTGAACAAAAAAATCTTCCTTTCATGAACGAAGACTGGTATTTTAGAGAAAATCACAAAGAGATTGAGTCAAGACAGGATAATGGAGGAAGTAAAAAAAATCCATTATTCATATCTTCTTAGGAAAACCTCATTTATACTCTGATGAAAACATCTGTTAGCCCATTTATGGAAAATTTGATGAGTAACTTATGGTAGACTGCCTCTCTTAAGAAAAAGGGAAAGTAAGGTTTGTATTTTTGAGATTTCTTATGAAAAGAAAAGTTCTTTATAACAGTCCCCAAACAGAAAGAAAATTAATACTTCACACACACACACACAAAGCCAAGATAACATGAGAAAAACCATTTCTCATGCCTGGCAGCAATGCCATGGTCTTATGACTGTGGTTAAAAACCCACCCCCTCGACAGCCCGTTTACAGCAAAGTGCAGCCTCAGACCCTGACTCCAACTCACCATGGGAAAGAAAGCACTCTCCTTTTCAGTATGTCTGAGTGACACATATGTGTAACAGCATGCTCACTAAAAAAAAAATCAAACTTAGAAAAGGCATGGATGCCAAGAAACTATTACCCAGTACCTAGGAGGGAAGAAATGTGCAAGTCAGAAGTCCCAAGACAAATGGCCAGTACCTGCGTATTTATGTCTTCCTCGTCACACTCTTTCTTGTACTTCCGCGGGAGCGTCTCCACCTCCCGGATGGCATCTATCGTGACTTGCTGAGGAAGCACCTCAAACAGAGACGTTAAATACATAATTATGGATTTCTTGTCAGGGAGCTGCACGGCAACATCTAAAAGTGGAAGAAAGGATGACTCAGAGGTGCAGAATCTGTGAACTTCTTTACGTGAGGTAAAAATGTAACTGCCCTTGTACCCAGAAACAATGCCTCGTTTATAAACTCCGCAACACTGTGTCTCAGGAAATTGCTACCGCGAATCCCAGATTGTGAGACAGTTTGAAACAGTCTCCCAGAAGCCCAGTATGAGGATGCAAACCTACAGTCCCAGCTCCTGGGAGGCTGAGGTAGGGGGCTCAAGAGCTTGAAGGATGCCTGGGAGAAATACTAAGTAAGACTGTGCCTTCTGATGAAAATGGAGGAGGGGGAAGCTATCTTAAAACACTCAAAGGCAAGCTATACAACTTGCCATTTAAAATATGACACAGGCCTCATTCATACAACATTCGAGCCTAAAGCCTTCAAGACATATGCAAATGCTCACACATACATACATTTTAAAAAACTAAGCCAACACTGAACTGTTTGTCTAACAAGCAGATTCCTGAAAGTGTTTCAGTGATACTTTATACAGCTTAACTATTATCCAGTGAAATAATTAACCCACTGCCTAAGGAAGCTGCACATTTAAGTGCAAAACGAAAAATATCGGCAATAAAATGGGAGGTGGGAGGTGGAGCCCGGGGAACTTATTGATAGGCAGCCTAATAAGGTGGAACAAGGTGGGAAGTGGGAGAAAAACACATCTGACTTCCTCTGGGCCACACGGCACACACAGGGGTGAACACACGCACACCACTCACTCACAACACACACACACACACACACAACATACACACAAAGGTAAATAAGAAAATAAACAAAAAAATACAACAAAATTGCTTATATCTTAACTGTCATAATACATTCTAAAAGTGAGAACAGCATCATTTCTCAATTATAAAGAAAGCGGAATCAAGTTCAACAGTTTATTCTCAACCTTACCTTCAGGGTCTAACAGCTTCTCAATTCCCAGATAAGTGTGGGCCTTGCTAAAAGCATGTTCGAGTCTCTCAATTGGGGACATTTTGACCACTCTTTCCCAGCTGAAGAGATCGGGTCTGAAAGTACCATACAAACGAAATTCAGTAAAGGCAAAAGACAAGAGAAACGATGTAGATGGTGTCGTAATCCATCACATTCTCAACTTTAATTGTTTTTAATTTATGGGTGCCATTTCAATTGTATCTTTTATGCCTCAAAGTTTATAAAATACATAAAATCAGAAAGTAATTAACAGACATGATGATACTAAGTAGACACTCTAAGGTGATTGGAGGAGTTGAGTCTATACTATGTCCTAAATAGTAAACCACGAATAGAGGAAACCTATCAATACAGACAAGGAAAAAATGGCCCCACAGCAGTAGGAGTAATGAAGTCAATGAGCTTAAATCTATGAATTGGCACCACCAGTGATTTCAATGGACTAAGTTCTGCCGTCAGGACAAAGATTCTGGGCCTGGAGGTGCACAGTACACAGGGGGCTAAGACAAGAGGATCACAGATTAGAGGCCAGCCTCATCTACAGAGCAAGTTTGAAAACAGCTTCATCTACACAGTAAGTTTCAGACCCCACCTGGTGCCTCGACATGCCCAGAGGGACTAAGGCGAGCAGACAGAAACCACAGCTGTAAGCGTTCTTTAGCTATGCTAACCACAAAGGTGCTCAGGGCATCAATTCCCTTCCACTCGCCCTCCTAGCAACAACTAGTGTTTTGTTTACATCTTGTCTCTCTTCCTGTCTCACAACTTGAATAGCATCACTGGCTTGACAAAGCTACAAGACATTTGTTTTCTTTGCACACCATTCTTGTATCTGAGACCACCACCCCCCGAGACTGGCCTCCCCCATCCCCATTTCTACCCACTTCCTCTGTCACTCAGCCACCAACCTCCCACATACCAGATGGATGCCTCTTCCCTCTTGCCTAGTGTATTTTTCTTTAGCGTGCCTACCATTTCTATACACTGTACAAATTAGAGTTCACAGCCACACACACACACTTCTGAGGCAGAGTCTTCAACAGGCCTCAAAATAGTCTCAAAATAGGTAATGTGGCAGAGGACGACTCTGAAGCCCCGAAACTGGCACCACCCGAGTTCTGGGATCATTGGTGCACCACCATGCCCAGCTACAGTTTACATTTATCTTTTTAATTAATGACTGTCTCCAGTTGGAAAGAACTGGATCCTTGCTTTGTTCCTGCTGTATCCTTGTGTTGAGTGCAAGAAACCGCTTTATGTACATTTGTTGAACCAATGAGCTAATAAATGCAAAATGTACCAGACAAAGTCAACAGTTCCTTAACAGTTCCGGGCAGCATCCTCAAGAAGACAGAGGAAGAGTAAGGGAAGGAAAGGGTCTTTGACCCCATAACAAGTTCAGAATATCAAAAAAAAAAAACCAAGTTATAGAAAACATCAGTCTTACAGGAAACTATATTAAAAGCACCGCCTTTGTTATCAAGAGCGAATCATTCTTCTCACTGTCTCTAGTTTGAATCAATGCTATGTGCAGAGCCAGAGGCAGTGAAGAATAAGAGAGGAGGGGCACGGGGAAAGGATACCACATCTCAAGGATATTCTAAACCTAGCCATGATTACTTCACAATCTAGCAGCCTACCAGCAAAGAGGAAAAACAGAATAAAGTATGAAACGAAGAAACCCAAGCCTATAGTGTACAGAGACAAACTTGCTAAGATGCAGGAAGTTTAGAAAAGTGTCCTTCATTTGTATATATATCAGCCAGGAACGTTCAGGGAATTAAATGAGAAAATTAATAATTCATAATAGCAACGAAACATAATATGATTTGCCTGCCTTTTGCATTTAATCTTTAATGTGCACAGAATTTATTTGGAGGGTATTGTGTAGCAAGGCACATAATAGCACACAGTTAAGCAACTGTCCCACGCCCCCGTTAATGTGCAATATCAGCTCAACTGGTTACCAGGTCATTCTCTATACAAGAGAGCGCTTTCTCAGTTTATCTTGTTGGTTTGATTGTTTTGTTTCTCTGTGTTTCCCTGCCTGTACTGGAACTAGTTCTGTAGGCCAGGCTGGCCTCGAACTCACAGAGATCCGCCTGCCTCTGCCTCCTGGGCGCTGGGATGGAAGGTTTGCGTCACCACTGTCCCTCTGTTCCTCGGCTCTAACGCTTCCAGGATGAAACATGAGATCATCCTCAGACACCTAGCACAGTCTTAGGTTGTCACCTTCAACGCAAACTGTGATTATCCCACTACACTTCACAGCAATGTATTCACCGCCTTCATTTCTTATTAGAAAGTTATTTCAGGCCGCTTATTCTTCTGGGATGTAATTGCTATTTTTACATCATATTCTTATTGACATGTTAGAATCTTGCTTATGAGCTTTCATAAGAAAATTGGTGTAGCTCTTCATAATGCGGGTAACACAATAAACAGAGTTTTCCTTCTGCTATAAGAACAAAAGCTACACACAAGTCTCTGTACATATTACTGGTTAGGGCTAAATGAGTGGGACTGAACTATGTCAATTATCTTACATTTCTTAATTTATAAATGTGTAGGAGTGCATGAACCCTGCACTGTAGCCCTGGAGTCCTAAAGGACTAGCCAGTGGTTGATCTCCTATTACATTGCTTTTCCTTAACATTTTAATGAACATGAGCCGTGAGGGTACCGAGATAGAGGATGGGGTTATGGAGAAGAGAAGTGGAGGGGACACAAAGGAGACAGAGATTTATAAGCCGAAGGGCATCTCACTTGTGCCGGTGGAGCACAGCGTTGAAGGCGAGCCCGTCGGTCCAGCTGGTGGTGAAGTTGAGGACATTGACTTGGCTGTAGGGCCGGGTGGTCTGTCGCACCCAGCTCAGCAGGATCTTCTCACTGTTGGTCTGCTGCAGATCTGACATAACATCTTTCATGACATCTTTCACCTGTGGGGGGGACACACACACACATCTGTTTATAACGTAACCTTTCCTTCAGTGAAGTTCTTGGATAAGGAATATTAGACTTGGCCAGGCAATGGTGGCGCATACTTTTAATCCCAACACTCAGGAGCCAGAGACAGGCGGATCTCTGTGAGTTTGAAGCCAGCCTGGTCTACAGAGATAGTTCCAGGACAGGCTCCAAAGCTACAGAGAAACCCTCTTTTGAAAAACAAGCAAAAAAAAAAAAAACAAAAAAACAAAAATTGGACTAATCAAATATTATGGAGCTTGTAATTAGCATTTATTTTATTTCCAATTTCTACTTTAAAGAATGGAAAGATAAATTTTAGGTGTCTTTTAGGGTAGTAGAATTTTCTATACATTACCCAGTTCTATGTCTTAAGTAATATTTGCACTTTTTAATTATACTGAACTTTTCTTTCATTGCTATGAAAAAGTCATATTTTAATATCTTTAATTTGCAAGGGCTTTTCCATAAAAACAAAATACAAATTTAATTTTCTCCACAAATAAGAGCAGAAGCGTGTTGACTGACTACAAAATCAGAGAATTAAGCAATTTTCCTGAGAGCAATAAAAATCATAATAATGTTTGATACTAAAGAACTAATGTTTTATTATTATCCTAAAGTAATATATATAAGGGAAGATCTCAAAGAATGATGGAGAATAGACTCATCAGAAATACCATTAGCCAATGTAAGGGATCCGAAAGAGCCAAATCTATGACAACTGCCACGTCAGGATGAATATTAGCAAAAGATGATAAACCTATACAGAAGTTCATAATTTATCTATTGATGGGCAGGTGAATGGATGGATAAATGGATGGATGGATGGATGGATGGATGATGGATGGATGATGGATGGATGGATGGATGGATGGATGAATGGATAGATGGATGGATGATGGATGGATGATGGATGGATGGATGGATGGATGGATGGATGGATAGATGGGTGGGTGGATGGATGGATGGATGATGGATGGATGATGGATGGATGGATAGATTGGTGGATGATGGATGGATGGATGGATGATGGATGGATGATGGATGGATGGATAGATTGGTGGATGATGGATGGATGGATGGATGGATGGATGGATGATGGATGGATGGATGATGGGTGGATGGGTGGGTGGATAGATGGATGGAAGTGGTCCTACCTTAACCTAAGTAAACATGGCCAGAGAAAGTGAGTGGACAGCACATGCCCCTGACACAGTGACTGAGGAAACTCAGCATGTTTCCTGCAACACCTCTACTCAATGAACAACCTGAATCTAACCTGCTGGTCAGTAGAGTCACTCCCGGGAACATTCTACAAAGTAGCAGTTCAGAGCTCTCCAAAAACTTCAACAACACGAAATGCAAAGAAAGATTCAGAAAGTACCCCCATGTTACAGAGATGAGAGAGAGAAAACCAATGAGGATCACTCATGGTCTTGAACCACTGTTTAACTGATTCATCACCTTGTCTCCCCTCCCTCTATCTGTAGCATGATTAATAAAACCCAGAGACAGATACTGGGGTCCAACTTGAAGATCAGAAAAGCAAAACAGCCAGCACCTGGCTCTTACCTTGACCTCAGTCCAAAATGGTAATACTGCCTTCAGGAATCTCAGAATGAGACTGTGTCTAAGAGCTGTCTTTTCCCATTTTATATTCCTCTCTACGGCTGGGATTAAAGGCGTGCACCACTACCACCTGGTTCTATGGCAAACTAGTGTGACTACTGGGATTAAAGGTGTGTGTCACCACTGCCTGGTCTGTAAGGGTGACCAGCGGGGTTGTTTCACTCTCTGATCTTCATGCAAGCTTTACTTATTAAAACACAAATGAAATCTCACTACATCCATCTACCCCACTGCTCGTGGGAGATTGACCTAGGACCCCAGGAATACTGGCAAGCGTTCCATCGCTGAGCTACACTCCCCTGCGTATACTACTGAGGTAGTTAACCAAAGCTCCATGAGACCCACACCTAACTATTATCTCAGTATCATTTTCCTGACTTTAATGATGTTGGGATAATAAAGTAACAAACGGTAATATTACACACCTTACACTTTTATGTTAATGCTATTGGGACTATAGAGCAGAGTTTGTTAATTTTAGTAAAAAGGCCATGTTTTTACACAAAAGTTTGGAAAGCACACTTTGGTGCTTTACATGGAAAAGGGCATACAAAGTATTCATAGAGAGAGAGAAAGCCAGGGTGAGCTAAGGTAAAGCAGGTGTCTGCCAACATTTGGGGAATCGGAATGAAAGGCATTTGGAAACTCCTTAGACTATTCCTCCAACCTCTTTCAAGTCTGAATGTAAGGCAATTTTCTGAATTAAATAGAAGATACCCTTTTTCTCCTCTGCCCCAAATCTAGATCAAGCTGCCAACACTTTCTATCGGGAATTGGTGTAAGTTAGACAGCGCTGTCTGGAGAGTCAGACGCGAAAGTCCTGTGGCCCGCATCTAAAACTGGGCCTTATTTGGAAGTAGGGCTACTACACACAGAACTGTGTAAGGTAAGGTCATGCTGGAGGAAGATGACCTTTAAACACAGCGTGACTGGTGTCCTCCCCAAAGAACAAAGGGAAAGCCGCAGGGTGTGTGTCATGAAGACAGCAGCTAAGTTTCCACAAGCCAGAACACCCCATTTTGCAGCAAACTAGCAGTGAGGATAGACAAGGACCAGACTCCCCCAGAGTTCCTGGGAAGAAGAAATCAGCTTTTCTGACACTTGGGTCTGGGACTTACAGACCTCAGAATTTCGAGGCAATCAATGTGTCCTGTTCAAGCCAAGCACTGTGGGATTTTGATTTGGCTGCTGTAGACAATGACTAGAGAACCAGTACATTTTCAAAGTCTATTGAGAAGTGACTGGAACTTTCCCCACCTGCCAGTGCAGAATGATGCTCCATAGCAACCCCAACGTCAGCTTGTGATTTCCGTCCACGATATCAGTCCCCCCGATATTCACCAATTCCACCTGTCAGAACAAAATAATAAAAAATAACAAATGCAACTCTGAGGACTATGTCTGCCTAGAACACTGGCTTTTGATTTAGGACATTTGTACAGCAATAGCAATGAGGATAGAAATTTCATTTCAGGAACGGGATCAATGCAAAAACTCAAAAGTGTATTAGTTATACTGCAGATCAATGAGAGCATCAGACAAGCCACCTGACCTAGCCTTCACTCACAGAACAAGTTCAGAATTTCTACCACAAAGGAACATTTCCAAGAATCGGCTCCTGCCGACGATTACTGCAGCCAGCGGGCTTCACGGTAAATACCACTCCCAGCAGCAGAGAACCCCAGAGTTTGCTTACGTTGTTCTGATGTAAAACCTGCAGCACCCGGTTGACATTATTTAAGGCATGCACCCTTGTGGAACCACGCTCCTTTGGCTGGAAAAGGAAACAGAAAAGCAAGTAAGATGCCACATCCTCTCATAGGCTGACAAAGTCTGACACAAAAAAATGCAAGCAAGAACAGCAGGACAGGGTCCATGTCACCAGTCTGGGTACCACAGGATGCAAATTCACTAACAAGATGAGATAATGGCTGACTAACCCTGTGAGCCCACTGAAATCTCCTAGGGACCCTCTAAACAGGCATGGCAGTTTCCTGTCCCAGGTGAGACAGAGGCTTGAAGAGCTTAGGACGCGGCGGGGATTTGGAGTTTTTAATATTGCCCTCGCTACTCAAAGAGGCAAACAGACATATTTGAGAATCAATTCTGTCAGAGAAAGCCTCTTCTATCTAAACTTCTCCGGAGGCATAAAAGTACCAGAGAAGTTGTACCTGCCTTATCCTGACCAAGGAGGAACAACTGAGCAAGAAGATACTGTTCTAAACTCAAGGTCACATGAGAAGAGTCCACACCTAGTGTATGACAAGCTAGGCAGCTTCTTCCTCCCACCTCTCCGGCCAGGAACCCTCATGAGAGACACCAGGTTTTCCCTGAAGGTGCCCAGCCTCTGCCAGGATGGCAGACAGAGCATGTGATACTCAGGCTATGGCAAGGGAATAAAATCTCATCTTCAGCAGTGTGTCTCTCTATGACTTTATAGAAATACTGTCGCTAGTGTAAAATACTGTCACCACTAGTGAAGACATAAGAGACACTGTCACTGGTGGGACAGAGAGCCTTACACACAGAGTGACAGATCTAGCTGTGATGAAAAAAAGAAACATGGAAAAAATGCTGAAATCTGGAATAGAAATAATAATGTCTGAGGGCTGGAGAGATGGCTCAGCGGTTAAGAGCACTGGCTGCTTTTCCAGAGGTCCTGAGTTCAATTCCCAGAAAGCACATGGTGGCTCCCAACCATCTGTAATGAGATCTGGTACCCTCTTCTGGCTTGCAGGCAGAACACGAAAGAGAGAGAGAGACTGAAACAACTATTTCTTAATTGCTTATTAAATTACAATTAAGTGAGGCTGTCTTTACATTCTCACATCTGAAAGCATAATCTTCTCTTTATGAATTCATTCCCCCTTTTATTTTAAGTCCCCAAATACAGGGCAATAAGCATCTGAAGTGACTTTATATTTGATGAAAATAGAGTCCTGAAGAAAAGCTACACACCACTCTATCCAACCATCAGTTAGAGCATTGTATATAAAGTTCTGCTTTCTGTTTGCCTTCACGACTCAGTACCCAAAGTGGAACTTCAGATATCAGGAACGACTAGAGATGTTCCATCAACTTCATTCTCAAAGATGTCCTCTCTTACAGGCTGGAGTAGCTCGGGTGCTAGCGTGCACGGAGCCCTGGGTTCCAATGTCAGCATGGCCCAAGCCTGGTGTGGTAGCACACACACCTGCAAACTCAGTGCTCAGGAGGAGAGACAGGGCCTCAGAAGTTCAAGGTCATCCTCGGTTACACAGTTAGTCTGAGACCAGCCTGAAGCACACAAGAACCTGTCTGAGAAAAATAGAAGTGTCCTCTCACCAATGATGTCCCTGTGAGGCCTTCTAGAAGATCCAAGAGCTTTCTCCCATCTTTGAGGTCTGAGAACATATCGCTGATCGGTGGTTTCCCACTCTGCAATAAAGAAGAAGTCAAATAATGGTTACTTCAGAATCAGAAATTCCATGTGCTGGGGCTGGTGAAATGGTTCAGGAAGCAGACGCACTTGCTGCTGCTGGCTGTGATGGCCCGAGTTCAAGCCCTGGGACACCCATAGTGGAAAGAGTAAACTCCCACAGGCAGTCTAGTGAACTCCACAGGTGCACCATGGCCTGAGTGTGCGCATTCATGTGTATGTGCATGCTAATCAATATATAAATGTAAAAAAATAAAAACAAAAAGGAATTCCACATGTTCTTACAATACTTTTGGCTTTGTTCAATCCCAGTCCAGTGCTTAGGCTGTCAAAGCTTACAGAGCTCTTAAGATAGACAAGCAGTATCATCCCTCCCTGATAAATACACAGGGAAACCCCAGTCCACAGATCTGGCCTTCCTGTGGCAGGGTGAAGGCTTTAAAAGAAGGCAGATTCTGTTCAGAAAATCAGGAGCCTCGGTTTCAAACCCAGTTTCACCAAGAACTACGTGAAGAGACTAGCTCAGTTACCTAACCTCCCTTAAGACACCTTTTAAAGATTTTCTTTTAAATATCAGAAAGTATAATGGTATGTGAGAATGTACTAAAACGTCGCAAAGCATGATGTAATATGTCTGTAATGGTCTTCAATGATGTTGTTCCTTTATATGAAATATTCAGAACTAAAAGTCCTTCCTGCCAGTCATAGAGATTTCATATTCAATAACTGTATCTTTTACTCCTCACTTTATAAAGTACGTCTTCCATATGAAGCAAGACTTTAAGCTTGAGATAAAAGGGGAAGGGAAACACTGCATTCCCTCCGTACCCCACCTACTGACTCACTCCTCGCCTTTAAACAGCTATCATGTGCAATCAACTAAGGATTCTTAGCATGTGTCTTAAAAGCTCATAGGCTTGGAGCGGGAAGGTATGGCTCATTACAGAAACAGCGAATGAGATGGTCCTTCCTATCTCCGAAACTCAGCTCACTCTCCAGGCTGCCACTGCGACAGGGATGGAGATTATCTCTGCTGATTACAGAACACGCAGATTAGCAGGACACAGAAGCCACTTTCCAGAAGCAATAAAAGCTGAAGACTTGCAACTCCTACCAACAAAGCAGAGGGCAGACAAGCCGTTGCTAGCTGCCTGGCCTCAAGGCTCCCCTCCTAACCCCACTCTCACTTCCCAGAGTGCAGTCCAGCCACCAAAGAACTCGGTGCCCGCTCAGGTCTTAATGCAGCAAAGGAACATAGACATCAATCAGGTAAGGTCCAGGAAGCAGGATGAGTTTCGTCCACTAACCTCCACCAACTCAAAGGCACTTTCCGAAATACCAACAAAGCACCATGAAAAGGCTTATAAAATAAAGCAAATGCAAGGATTTTCTTCATATCAGACATAATTACGGATGACTATTAATGCCCTTATACACAAACAGGCCTTGCTCTGAACTATCCACAGATTTCAGCTATGTTAGCTGGTCTTTACACTCTTAACTGTTTCTTAAAAACTCAAATGGTTAATCAATCTCTATTATCAGTTATATCACGAGCTATTTTGTATTGTTATAAAAATTACTGCTGAGGCTCGAGAGATGGCTCTGCGTTTAAGAACACTGTTCTTGCATAGGACCCAGGTTCAGTTCCCAGCACCTACACAGTGACTTACAACTATATACAACTCCAGTTCTGCGGAATCTAACACCTGCTTCTGGCCTCTTCAAGCAGCAGGCACACACAGAGTGTGCATGCACACATGCAGGCAAAACGTTCAGACACATAAAATAAATCTTTTTCCTAAAGAGCCATAAAATTTCAACAATATCCAAGAGAACTTATGAAAGACCTTCTCAGCCCCAAATTCACAGAAATGATGGCCTGTGGGAACCTTTCCCATTCAAAAACAATTCACATAAGAATAAGGCAGAAGAGCACACCTGTGTTTCACCCAGAAGCCATGAATGCTCCGTTGCAAACGAAGACTTCTAAAAGGTGGCATTATGGCACACTCTCTTTGTTACCTCACATCCAGACAGTTGATTCATTAGCAACAAGTTTAAGAAGGGCTCCCTCTAAAGGGCGGATATGGAAGGGCTGGGAAATGAGTGGGGTTGGGTGCGTGCTGTGAAATTCCCAAAGAAGCAATCAAAAATCGTGTTTTAAAAAAAAAAGTCCCCTCTGGAGTATTCTGTTAGAAAAAAGATGAAGACAGTCCTGTCCCTGTAGAAGCCAATCACTCACGCAAGGCTGAGCAAAGCTCTTTTTCCTTTAAATGTAGGCTTACAGTAACAACAGCTAAATTTCTCTCTTCTGTTTCCCAATTTCAAACTAACACTGATGACAAACCATATGGAACATGTCGTGAGCATGTACCCCTTTCCCGACGTTCACACACAGCATAAGCAGTGATGACATTATTGGCGTACACTGTCAGTTCTCAATGAAGGAGCTCCAAATCCCTGCAGGACGGCAGACAAGGAGGGTGATAGGGCTCCCTGTGGTGGTATTTTGTTTGTCCTGTAACAAATAAAGATTGCCTGAAGATCAGACTGTGGAGCTAGCCACTAGTTAGCCATAAAGGCCAGGCAGTGGTGGCATACACCTTTAATCCCAGCACTCGGTAAACAGAAGCAGACGGATCTCTGCCACCCTGGGCTACACGACGTTGGTCCAGTCTAAAAGAGAAACAGCCAGGCAATGGTGGCTCACACCTTTAATCCCAGTACTTGGGAGTCACATGCCTTTAATCCCAGCACTAGAGAGGTGGAAACAGAAAGGGACAAGGCTGGGTGGAGAGAGGATTATAACAGGGGAAAAGACAGACGCTCACCGCTCGCCGTATTCAGTCTGAGGATTCCTAGGAACGGGATCTTGCCGCTTTGATCTGAGCATTTGGAGAGCTAAGAACTCTAGTGGCTGGCTACTCTGCTTCTCTGATCTTTCAGCACTTACCTCTATATTAAGACTAATTTAGATTCACGCTCCAGCTCCCCGGGGACAGAGTGAAGTGCCTAGACTCTCACCCGGAAGCCATCAAAATCTGTGGTTCCTAACTCACACATGACCTCCTCAATTAAAAGGTGCCTCTGTGCTCTGCTGAGCTCTTGAGCCCTGGATCCAGGTCCCCAGCACAAGCACCCCTCTGCCAAGGGCCAGACAAGTTTTCTGTCAGCATGTCATCCGTCTTTAAACAACGGTACTAGTCTCCACCCACCCCTAGAATCTGAAAGATGAAACACATTAAACTCCTCTCCCTGAGACTAGTTCATCGCTGGCCTTTGCACACAGGTGTTGCTGTTCACCTGCTCTTCTGCACACTGTCCACTACACCACTGCCTTAGAATACGATGTAAATGAGCTTCCTTGAACATCAGAAGCACCACATAAGGTAGCTGCTTCTTCTCCTTCTGGCAGCTTTTCGCTTTTGTTTTCATTTTTGTTTGGTTTTGAGGAAAGGTCTCACTAGTCTAGAACTCGCTCTATAGACTGAGCAGCTTCTTATTTGGTGTCTTTGGTCATTTTAAAGACATTTAACTCCACTGAGAAAGGTTCTGTCATGAGAATTAGAAATTCGGCACCTGCCTGTATGCGTAATTTTTATCAATAGAACACAGACTGAAAATGCACTGGAAAAAATTTATACATATACCCATGGCATGCATCTACAATCCCAGCATTCAAGAGGCTGAGTCAGGGGAATTGCAAGTTTGAGGTCTGCATAGAAAGTTCAAAAACAGTCTGAGCAAGAGCCCAGCAGATAAGGGATTTGCCTAGCAGATACAATGCTCAGGATTCAATCCCCAGCACTGCAAGAAAAAAAAAAAAACCTTCTCTCTGTCTCTCTCTCTCTCTCTCTCTCTCTCTCTCTCTCTCTCTCTCTCTCTCTCTCTCTCTCTCTCTCTCTCTCTCTCTCGTGCACGCTCTATCACACACACACACACACACACACACACACACACACACACACACCATGCATATGGTTTGTCACTATAAAACACTAAAGAGTCCTAAAAAATGCAAATACAAATGTTCCATAAAAATAAGAGAACATGTCCTCTCCCAACCTAAAAAATAAAAGTAGCTTGTGTATAAGCGCTCTATACATGGGATCAGAACTGTGCTTGTATAAATTACAGGACAAGGCAGTACGGACTTTAGCCATTGCTGGCTGTGTGGTCTCTGTTGAAACTACTCAATTTTCTGTTGCAAGAACGGGTGAGCCAACTGGAATAGCAACTTTGTCCTAATTTTCATGGATACTAAAATTGAAATTCCATATAGATTCCATAAATTATAAAATAATATTCTGCTCCTTTCTAACCACCTAAAAGATATAAACATAATTTTAATGTAAAGACTATACAAAAACAGGCAGGAGAATAGTGAAATGTTTTAAGACAGAAGTAACCAACACTCACTGTGTGCACAGGTAAGTTCTGAGAACGATACAGATCTACAGTCATTATTTAATATGCATTCTTCCTTCCTAATGGCGTTCTAAAGGGAATATTCATTTCATAAGTGAATAAAGCGAGATAGAAAGATAGCGTAACAAGTGTGTGACGGAACCAGGATTTGATCCCACGACACCCGGCTCCCGATCCGTGTTCTCAGCATTTGAGCGAACTAATATTACCAGGCACAGAACTGGGATAGACAGGGGAGTGCAGAGCAGTTGCTGGGATGAGAAAGAGAGAGATGCGGATGTAGATACAGATGCTGTAGATGTAGATGGATAGTAACTCCCCAGAGCGAAGAGACAAATCTCTACCCTGTACTAAACTGAGACATGCATTTCCCGGCACCACACTGGAAAGCATTCCTGGTGTTTTTATGCTGTGAGCCGTAAACATCGGCTCTGGGAAAAGGTCTAGAAAAGTCAAAAGTCATCTTTTAATAAAAACAGAAACTGATTCATCTTGACCATTTAAATCTGTGCAAGGACTGACTTGCAGTAACTTCTCTGGCAGAGAACATGCAGCTGAATAATTCAAT